GAGGGGGGCAGGGTGGGGCCCAGGGACTGGTTTGGGGTCAGTGCGGTTTGATTCTGGAGCTGCATGAGTAGTGAGAGGGGTGGGAGGAATTAGTCAATTTTGGAGCCCCGTTAGATTAACTGGAGCATCAAAGTGGGCCAGTTGCGCTGTGCCCTCCCCCACCGTCTGCTCCCGCCTAAGGCCAGGGCTCCCTTCCTACCTCCACCCTGTCCTGCAAGGGGCCTGTCTGACCCACATTCGCCAGCCTTCCCGCCTCCAAGCCCTTCTGTGGGTTACCCTCCCCTGAGAGCTGTCTCCTCTCTTCCTTTGACTTAACAGTAGAATAGGCCAGTCTCCCAGCATCTCATGTGCAGTCTTTTCCTTCAAAGGCCAACCTCCCTCCTACCTGTGTCCCATTATGTACCCATAACTCTTGCCAAGGAGCCACAGGATCCGGTCCATTCATTCACGGAGACCGTAGGGGCTTAGTTTCCCCAGAAGTTGTGTCTTGGAGAAGGCCTGTCCAGAGACGGCAATGCTATACCCAAGAGCTTGAATGGGGAGTGCGTACCAGGCCTGTGGTAAGGGCACATGGAGAGAGAGCAAGGGTACCACCTACTTCAGGGCAGCCATCTTCCTTGCTGACCCAAGAGGCCACCCCTCCCAGCCCTCTGAGCCAGCCTCCGCCCCCATCTCCGTGGCACACATCCCCTCAAGTAGCTTTCCTTTAGGAAATCCCTCCTGACGCTCAACTTTGATCCTTCCCAGCCCCGCAGGATTGCAGAGCTGCGGGCAGCTCTGAGGGATTCAATCTTCTCTCTCACTTTCTATCCTGCATCCAAGGATAGTCAAGACCATACTAAAGAGAAACTGAGGAGGGCGACACCAAGGCCGGAGCCCTGTAAAGTCAGCAGGTGGGAAGATAAGAGGGGGCCCCATCGGAAGACCCGGGGGGGCCGGGGGGGGGCGGGGCGGGGCAGGCTACCATTTATTTGCTATGTGCCCTCAGGCCTGTCCTTCCCTACCTCAGTTTCCTTCTTTGTAAAATGGGCATTATGGCCGGCATGGTTCAGTGGTTGAGTGAACCAGGAGGTCACAGTTTGATTCCCAGTCAGGGCACATGCCTGGGTTTTGGGCTCCATTCCCAGTGTGGATAGGTTGCATGTTCAATCCCGGTTGGGGTGAGTGTAGGAGGCAACCGATATTTCTCTCTAACATCAATGTTTCTTTTTCTCTCTCTCTCTCCCCCCTCCCTCCCTCCCTCTCCCTTCCTCTCTGAAATCAATAAAAAATAAATAAAATGGGCATAAGATGCCAGTCTCACTTAGTTCGAGGAGTCAGGAAGGTATTGAGTGAATGTGCTTTGTAAGTCAAGGGAGCTGGAAAGTTGTCAATTACTCTCGTTCTGTTCCCTGTGCTGCTGCTGCTGCTGGGGTGGTGGCTTCTGGCCTGCAGGCTGGGGACCAGATGAGGGGTGAGATGACATTCCGCACTGGAGACCCGGGCTCCGGGCCTTCCTGCGGCAGATAAGAGCCAGAGCTGTGACAGTTCTCGGGCTCAGCACAATTCCCACGGGAATCGCTGGGGGAGGAGACATCCCAGGCCCGAGCTTATCTTCACTCTGGCTGGTCTGGGAAGTGGGGTCAAGTGCAATTGTCTGGGTTGGTTTCCAGCAGGGGAGGGTAAAGGGCGTGGGTGTACAGTCTGTTAAGTCTTCCAGTCGAGAGAAGACCCCCAAGAGGGCTCAGATGGGGGAGGAGCTGGAGGAGGAGGATCCCTTCCCAGTCCCACTATCCCAAGGGGACCCGTTGGGCCGGGAACCCTGAGGCGGGGCTGGGCATTGAAGAACAGAGGCCTGGGTGGCCCGCTCTTCCTGCAGCGGCTCAGCCACATCCACCCCCCTTGCTGATGGATGCCCCCGTCTGAGAGAAGACACAGCCCTGCCCTGGGGGAAACTCCAGTCTGAGGGGGGAGACAGCTCTTGCCTGGAAGTCCCCCTACTCTAAAGAGGGAGGCACAGTCTCTAGGCTGCCGGCGCCTCTCCCAGGGGAGCACAGAGATGCGCCGGGGACCTGGAGAGGAACCTCAAAGCCACTGTCTCTTCCCACACACTCAAAGGGGTGGAGCGGGGAAGACAGGCCATGACCTTGGGGGTCTCCTAGTCCAAGGGGTTCCCCAATCAAACAGGAGAGATTCACACCCCGGCAGGAAGGCCAGGACTCGGATTTCAGAAGCGGAAGCCACCACAGTCGGGGACACTGAGGCCCAGAGAAGTACATGACTGGCTCGAAGTCACTAGGTGGGTCTGCTGCAAAGAAGAGAATTTCGG